CGTGTGTAGCAGTAATGTGTATACGGGGGCAGTAACTGCAGCGTGTGTAGCAGTAATGTGTATACGGGGGCAGTAACTGCAGCGGGTGTAGCAGTAATGGGTATACGGGGCAGTAACTGCAGCGCGTGTAGCAGTAATGTGTTTCTACTGTCACTGTGATGAAAGACGTGGCAATATAGCAGTCAATTAACTTTTATCTTAATTTAGTTTTGTTCTAAATTATTAATTCGGACATCATCGTATTGTTGAATTATTTACGACATGTAAGATCGTCAAGGTTTGTAGGGGCAGTTTGGTGCCCGGAAGCCCGGGCGTCTTGCCTTAAACTGCAGCGCTGACCTGCCATGAAGCTGCTTCCGGGACAGTGCTGGTCTGTCTAGAGTCTAGACCCTGTGGTTAGACCTACTGTCTATACTCTGGAGTTATATATACCCTGTGTCTATACTCTGTAGCTAGACCCATTGTCTATACCCTGTATTGAGACCCTGTGTCTATACCTACTCTGTATTTAGACCCAGTGTCTATACCATGTATTGAGACCCTGTGTCTATACCGTGTCTATACTCTGTATTTAGACCCAGAGTCTATACTCTGTATTTAGACCCTGTGTCTATACTCTGTATTTAGACCCAGTGTCTATACCATGTATTGAGACCCTGTGTCTATACCGTGTCTATACTCTGTATTTAGACCCAGAGTCTATACTCTGTATTTAGACCCTGTGTCTATACTCTGTATTTAGACCCAGTGTCTATACCATGTATTGAGACCCTGTGTCTATACCGTGTCTATACTCTGTATTTAGACCCAGAGTCTATACTCTGTATTTAGACCCTGTGTCTATACTCTGTATTTAGACCCAGTGTCTATACCATGTATTGAGACCCTGTGTCTATACCGTGTCTATACTCTGTATTTAGACCCAGAGTCTATACTCTGTATTTAGACCCTGTGTCTATACTCTGTATTTAGACCCAGTGTCTATACCATGTATTGAGACCCTGTGTCTATACCGTGTCTATACTCTGTATTTAGACCCAGAGTCTATACTCTGTATTTAGACCCTGTGTCTATACTCTGTATTTAGACCCAGTGTCTATACCATGTATTGAGACCCTGTGTCTATACCGTGTCTATACTCTGTATTTAGACCCAGAGTCTATACTCTGTATTTAGACCCTGTGTCTATACTCTGTATTTAGACCCAGTGTCTATACCATGTATTGAGACCCTGTGTCTATACCGTGTCTATACTCTGTATTTAGACCCAGAGTCTATACTCTGTATTTAGACCCTGTGTCTATACTCTGTATTTAGACCCAGTGTCTATACCATGTATTGAGACCCTGTGTCTATACCGTGTCTATACTCTGTATTTAGACCCAGAGTCTATACTCTGTATTTAGACCCTGTGTCTATACTCTGTATTTAGACCCAGTGTCTATACCATGTATTGAGACCCTGTGTCTATACCGTGTCTATACTCTGTATTTAGACCCAGAGTCTATACTCTGTATTTAGACCCTGTGTCTATACTCTGTATTTAGACCCAGTGTCTATACCATGTATTGAGACCCTGTGTCTATACCGTGTCTATACTCTGTATTTAGACCCAGAGTCTATACTCTGTATTTAGACCCTGTGTCTATACTCTGTATTTAGACCCAGTGTNCAATTAAACTGGGGAATTATTTGCAATTGTACTGGAGGAAGTACTTGCAAATATACTGGGAACTATTTGCAATTATACTGGGGTAATTATTTGCAATTATACTGGGGAAATTATTTGCAATTATACTGTATAACTATTTACAATTATACTGGGGGAACTATTTGCAATTATACTGGAGGAAGTACTTGCAATTATACTGGGAACTATTTGCAATTATATTGGGGAAATTATTTACAATTATACTGGAGGAACTATTTGCAATTATACTGGGGGAACTATTTGCAATTATACTGGGGATATTATTTACAATTATACTGGAGGAACTATTTGCAATTATACTGGGGGAACTATTTGCAATTATACTGGGGATATTATTTACAATTATACTGGAGGAACTATTTGCAATTATACTGGGGGAACTATTTGCAATTATACTGGGGAAATTATTTGCAATTATACTGGGGAAATTATTTGCAATTATACTGGGGTAACTATTTGCAATTATACTGGGGGAACTATTTGCAATTATACTGGGGAAATTATTTGCACTTATACTGGGGAAACTATTTGCAATTATACTGGGAAATTATTTGCAATTATACTGGGGAAACTTCCTAACATAAACAAAGTTGCTAGCAACATAATTGTTCATTTTTCTGTGATCGCTGATAGTGTTGTTATTACAGTAACTAAGTTGTCTGTGTTTGCTATCAAAGAAAAGCTAAGGAAGACAAGTTCACTGGAACGACGTGCAGTCCAATTGCTCAGGCATATAATGGGCCAACATTTACTTGATTTCGGTCCTGACAACAGCGCTTGTAGCCTGTCCTGAAACAGATTAGAGCTGGTCAGCTGTTTATAAAAATCTTATATGATGAATAATGTCGCCATTTTTCAAACTATTTCAGTGAAGAGATATTATCCGATGTATTTCCAATTTATGTACCGTCGCTGAATCACAATTTACGTCTTTAACAGGTCCAGTCTTCCATGACATAACCATGCTAGGTACTGCCACTACCATCACCCTGCATTAATCCTTTGAAGTGTATTTTGCATTCTTATATAGGCCGGCTTCGCGCTCCGTTGAGCCTACCTAGAAGCTACCGCACTCGTAGCTACAGTTTCAAATTTCCCTCGGTCAGCCCTCGCACTGCTCTCGGGTGTTATAATAATTGAACTCGCTCACACATTATGCCATCCTGTCTCGTGGTCAAGCCTTTCGTGAGATTAATTTCGGATCGTCTCATATTCTTTGCTGCAGTTACGTTCAATATTCTAAAATATTAGTAGAGTTTTACTCACCTATTTTTTACTACCTGACTTACAGGTCGTCTCATATTCTTTGCTCCAGTTATGTTCAATATTCGAAAATATTTAATAGAGTTTTACTCACCTATATTTTATTACCTGCCTCACAGGTATACTACCAAGAAAGCAAGGAGGAGGTGCGTACAGAGACCCGCAGCAGCGGGCCGGAGGTGTCGGCCAGTCTGCCCCCGCACCCCACCAACGAGCTCGAGAGTCTGCTCAGCGAGCTCAACTCCTCCCGCTACACCGGCATCGTGGGTGTGTTATCTTGGCTTAATTTATATTCATTTCTAATGCTTCAGTATAATAAAAATGTCTGTAGCATATTTGGTCCAGTTTGAAGTTAGGCTCGGTGATCTCAACTCCTCCCGCTACACCGGCATCGTGGGTGTGTTATCTTGGCTTAATTTATATTCATTTCTAGTGCTTCAGTATATAAATTTCCTGTAGCATATTTGGTCCAGTAAGAGGTTAGTCTCAGGGATATCAACTCCTCCCGCTACACCGGCATCGCGGGTGCGTTATTCGTGCTTAATTTATTTTCGTCTCTAGTGATTCAGTCTAAAAAAATTATGTAGCATATTATAGGACCGTTTTAAAGCCTTGCGCAAGCCTTTTGGATTGACAGTGATGTTTAGTTTGGTTCAGACGATATGTGAATTGATGCACCGGCATTGTCCGTTCTCATTCACTGCTATCATGGCATTCCTATTATTTTCATTTGATATGCGTTTCCTATAGAACCGCTTATACATTTTTCTAGGGTTCAATCTGTAAAACTTAGTATTACAACTTTTCTTAAAACGGTTTGTTTTGTTCGTTTTGGTGCGGAGTGGATGAATGGAAGTTTACTTCAGAGACCAGCATGGCCGGCAGGTTTACCAAGTTTTTTTGGACATTTGGCATCATTATAAGGTTAACATGTTACCCGCGTGAAGAGTTGGCTAGTGTAAGTGTATTGAACTATTGATGGCGTGGCAATGTTTTCACACTGTAATAATTTAAAAAGAAGTATGAATAATTCAAGATGCTAAGTGCATGAATCGTGTTTCTGCATTTATTAATAAGATAGGCTCGAAAATAGAAGATAAATCAAGCTTGACTGCAATTTAGGCCCCGATAATTGTAAAGACATTTTGTTTTAACAAAACAAAAGGTTTATCAAAATTAATCCTTCGGCAAACTTATTTTTTGACATTGTGGACATAACTGTTAATAATATTAAAGCAACCTCTGTAGCTCCTTTTTCCATTTCAGAGAATCCTTCTGTATATTATCCTTCGAATAAAAATTTGCATCCAAATAAATAAAACATTCATTAATTATCACGAGCTTGAAATCACTGGATATTTCGTATTCTATGTAGCTCCCTTTTTCTAAATGAATTTAACTCGATCTACCCGACGATACTGTCTTTACATACTCAATCTATTAAAAAATTCCATTTTCAGGATTTACTTCTTACCCGCTCAATTTTTTAAAATTCCTGTAATTCTGAATCAATTCAATTTCTTTCTTCTCGGGTTGAATTTATCTAGTCTTTCATTTTTTCCAACTGAATTTTCCGCTAATTTATTCCAATTTTTTTTCCTTACCCGCTGAATTTATTCTGAATTTCTCTTTTACCGCTGATTCATTTCGAAATTCTTTCTCTTCTCGTTGAATTTATTCCTAATTTCTCTCTTTATCGCTGAATTTATTCTGAATTTCCCTCTTTACCGCTAAATTCATTCCAAAACTCTTCTCGCTAAATTTATTCAGATTTTCACTCATTATCGCTGGATTGATACAGAATTTCACTCCTTACCGTTGAATTTATTTTGAATTTCATTCTTTATCGCTGAATTGATTCATAATTTCCCTCTCACCGCGCAATTTATGGTATCCTCACCCCTGTTCACGGTATCCTCACCCCTGTTCACGGTATCCTCACCCGCGTTCACGGTATCCTCACCCGCGTTCAGATCGCAGCAGCGGCTCCATGGTGCACAACTCCACAGCCGCTCGACCGTCCGTCAATTCCTTGCTGAACGAACTCAACTCCGTCAGCAGGTAAAATATTACATAAGATAATTTATATTATATTACACATATTACTTTATTATTGTAACGGCTTCTCTGTTAACGAAGTGTTAGTTGTACTGTATACGCGCATCGTCTTATATGCTACATGGTCATCACGACTGATAGCCAGTCAAGTGAAGAAAAATAGTTATTTTTAAAAACAATTAAATTGATTCGTGATTCCACGAGCATAAAGTGGCACTGTAAATTAGGCGATCTAGGTGCGCACAAGTAATGCATGCGTGGTGAGTGTGAGAACAAAGTATATTTAAGAAGAATGTTCTCAAGCTTATGTGTTGCTATGGAAAAAAAATCACAAATTTCATTCGTGTACCACAATTGAGGGGGCTTTGAGTTGAAAAGGCCAGAATATTTTGAGCAAAAATGATGTAAAGATTTATGCTCTCGCCGCCTAAAATTAGTCTAAAACGATACAGGAATTTTATGAACTGATTGATATTCTTTTAATGCATCACCAACAGCACCACTCGCCTAAAATTAGTCTAAAACGATACAGAAATTTTATTACCTAATTGATATTATTTCAATGCATCACCAACAGCACCACTCGCACCACCAACCTGATATTATTGTCTTAATGCATCACCAACAGCACCACTCGCACCACCAACCACCACAACCACGTAAGCGACCGCCACCCCGCACCCGTGACGGCGTCCACCGCCACCAGAGACCTCGACAACCTCATGGCAGAGCTCTCAGAGTTCAAGGTGAGTGTTCAACTCCTGCATTGCTCTGCAAATTGGTACAGACATGAATTAATGTTAGTTTTTAATTATCAAGTCATCGTCACAAATATTGGTTTAATTTGAATCCCGATTCAGAAGTTCGGGACAAACCGAATCAAAATTGAAATATTTTACTGAGTGAGATACACAGACATGAATTAATGTTAATTTTTAATTATCAAGTCATCGTTACAAATATTGGTTTAATTTGAATCCCGATTCAGAAGTTCGGGTCAAACCGAATCAAAATTGAAATATTTTACTGAGTGAGATACACAAGAAATCTGGGAAGTTAGTTAATTAGAAACAAAGGCTTCTATCTACGTCCGCTCAATCAATTTTTGATAGGCCTGTTGCTACGTCCACTCAATCCATTAGTAACAAGCCTGTAGATACGTTCCAATGTTCAGTATAATGTATAAAGGTATAAAATAACTTCAACAGAATTTTTTACGCGAGAATGCGTTGTAATTTTGTTCATTCAATTAATATACCAGTTACATGTTAGTGGTACACGTTGCTCTCAGTACGTGTGAGAACGCTGTGTGTAAGTACACGTATCAATGTTATGGTACAAATTTACATTTGTATATGTCCTAACTCCCAAATTGTCGTAAGTACCAAATATACCAATTTGCCTGCCACCTACACAAGGTGAAGGAAGTGTCCCCCGCTCCTCCCCCTCCCTCCACCAAAATCCTTTACAAGTCCACCACGACCACGACCTCCACCACGTCCTCCGAGGACGTCCACCACAACGTACCCACCGCCATCATTGACGTCCACAACGCGTCCGTTAAGCCCACGGTACGCTGACCCCCGTGACCCGTAGACCGGCCCGTGGGCCATAACCCGGCACGCGGGCCATAATCCAGGGGCCTTAACCCGGCACGCGGGCCATAATCCAGGGGCCTTAACCCGGCACGCGGGCCATAATCCAGGGGCCTTAACCCGGCACGCGGGCCATAATCCAGGGGCCTTAACCCGGCACGCGGGCCATAATCCAGGGGCCTTAACCCGGCACGCGGGCGATAACTCTACCCCATTGGTCGTTCTAACCACCCAAGCTATCAGAGATAACTGCACGGTTATCACTGATCAATTTTCCGTCAGTTATCAGTGATGCAGTTGAAGGTTGGTGAGGGGAGACTGCTTGCGCTAACTCGGTATGCCGACTACTCAGGTTCGCGGTCATGTATTTCACCAGCAGCTTTTCTTCTTGGATGCCTGGCATGATTGCTTCCCTAATCTCTTGTACGAATATCATTCGGATCATTGGCTGGGATACCTTAATTCCTCCATTATTTAACCCTACCATTTAGATCATCCATTTGTCTTTCCGTGTTTGAGGGCTCAGGGACATGATTGTTCCGCTATCTCCTGTAATGTTTAAGCTTATCCGGAATGATTACCTACGTTAACTGGGCACCAAAAAATTATTACTATTCGCCCGGTATGTTATCCGTGACAAGACGACGGCATCGTGCAGCACAGGTTGCTGTTGCTTTAGAGTGTGAAGCAGCAAGAGCAGGTGTACGCTTGTAACACAATTTAATCGACAACTTTCGCTCATGATGATTCGTGATGAGAACGCTTGATTTAGTCACAATGGTGGCATAAGGACACTCGGCGCCAAAATCACCTTGGTTGCGTAAGTCATCCTGGTGGCATAACTCATCATGTTGGCCTACGTCACCCTGGTGGCTTAAGTCACCCCCGTTGACGGTATCTCCTCAAAATTCAATTTACGGTCATTGCAAGTGCAGAAACGTGCTAAAAGCCAATAAATATAGTATGGGTTAAAGCACTGACGGCTGAGTAAGACCTCCAGGTTGGTGTCCCTTCCTGTAACTTTTTAGGAGAACTAACTTCCTGCCAGTAAATTTCGTTCGCTTTAGAAGTTCGTCCGCAAAATCATGAAAAGGCATTGATTTTACCGGAGTAGTTGATGGCCGCAGACCGTTGAGGACCGCTCCTGGGTCTCCACCGTGGAGGACCAAATCCTTTCGGATGGCCACCATCCGGAGAAAGTGGGTGCCTCTTCGGGTCCCATGTCCACCTTCCAGTCCTCCAAGTCCACCAAGGATTCATCCAAATCTCCTAAGCCGCCCCGCACCCCTCCTCCGCGACCTCCCACTCCTCGGAACCTGTCCACTCCGCCTCCTCGGCCTCCCGCCCCGGTGGACATCGCGTCGTGTCCATCTGCGGAAATTGGCGGTGCACCTCCGACGCTGCCGTGCCCGGATACCCCGCCGCCAATCCCGCCACCACCCGTCGGCGTCACCGCGTCCCCCACCACCACATTAAACCGCGTGAGTCCTCACGCCGGCCTACAACTTTTTAGTAACCAGCAAGTTTTAAGTAACTCTGCGTGAGAGTTTTTAATTAGCATAGCAGCTGCAGTAGTTGAGCGTTGTTTTCATAATATCCTAGTTTGCCCTATTCTGCGTGAAGAATGTATAGTTTGCTGTTTTCTTGATGAGAGTTTTTTATTTATTGATAATTGATTGATGCGTTCTGAACAACCGACTGGTATTCTTACTAACATCTGGGATTTGCTCCGACAAAAGTGAAACAAATTCGTGTAAATCAGGACTTGAAATGTGCACAATGTTTTATCTGGTCCTGGAATCAATCGTTTTTCGAGAAAAAAAAATCAGAGCTAACTCTAAAGCGAGAAATTCGCGGCGTTCAAGTTTTTTGTATAACAATTAGCGAATCGTAGCTTCGGGACAATTTATTGAAGCTTTTGCTTTAACGACTACAATAGCCAGGTGGTGGAGTGACTATTCAATTTACCTTAAATCGACTTACGAAGTTTTTCGTTTGCTTCTTCATATTCAGGAAAGAATTTGTGGAGCTCTGCTCAATTCGATTTAACCGTAATGACTTTCTACTGAACCGTTTTTCCACGTAAAGTCTTATGAGACTTCAATGCTGTCGAGTGTTTGCTCACACTGAACGAGTGCTCAAAAATTTATTTTCTTTCACTTGAACAAGAAGTAAAAAAAATTGTTTTCATTTGAACAAGTGCTGAAAAGTGCTTTTTCACAGAAAACAAGTGCTTAAAGTGTTCATCATTCATGCCCTCTATCGACTCTCACTGTTTCATGTCATGAATGCACCATAATTCATGACCTCCATCGAAAGGTCTCACTGTTTTATGTCATGAATGCGCCATAATTCATGACCTCCATCGAAAGGTCTCACTGTTTTATGTCATGAATGCGCCATAATTCATGACCTCCATCGAAAGGCCTCACTGTTTTATGTCATGAATGCGCCATAGTTCATGACCACCATCGACTCTCACCGTTTTATTTCATGAATGCGCCATAATTCATGACCAACATCGAAAAGTCTCACCGTTTTATGTCATGGATGCGCCAGAAAACACCCGTTGTTGCGGAGCCGTTCGAACGTCCCGACTCGGGTGGTCCAGTTAAGCGCAACGACCTGGCATACCGCTGGATCACGGATGAAATCAAGTACGAAATTCGGACAGGCATTCAGGATGAACCTGAAGAGGAACCGCCAGTTGTCATCCCGCCGCCTGTGAGTTGCAGAAGTTTTCAAGATTTACTTGAGTTGGCCCTCGTAACGCTTCAACTCTCCCCTCCCCTCCGTTTTCTTTGTTTCTCTCGAGTGCCGTTTTCTTCGGTTTTGCGACAGAAATTTCTGTAGTAGCTTATCACTGAACCATAAAGCTCTGCTGGTCACATGTAAAGTACTCATTAAGCGGTTAATTGAGTGTAAATTACTCAAGTTCATCACGTGCCCAGTGCTCATAAATCCCTGCTGATCACTTATAATGTACTAATACTGGAATCGTGTTCTTAGGACTTTTTTCTGGCCATAATCAATTAATCGTGTACGTTATTTTGTGGCACTGCTCGCACGGTCGCGCAAGTTTAGCGAAAAACATTCAACCTTACATATGGCTTTCTTCATTATTAATTAGAAAATTTTGTTTGTCTTTCCATTAAAGTTATACAATTAAAATAGTGTGGGTGCTTCTCTAATTTGAGTGAGTTTAGTAATGTATTTTTTATAATACATGATTAACCGACAATCCCGTAATCGCAATACATGTCTCATTAAGCTAAGGCAACTTTTAAAAGTCTGACTGTTTTGCAGATTCCTATTTCTGTTCTTCGATTAGCCTTTTCAAATACAGACGTATCATATCTACAAAGTGGAAAAAATATGGTCATCGATAGGATATTTTGTAACTAAGTCATGATTGGAAATGATTGTTTCCTTTTAATTGACAGAGAAACATTATATTTAAAGTGAATGGGTTAATTTTAGCCAGATACTGTTGGAAAAAATCGCATTGTTGCTCCCTGGTAAAATCAAATAACACCTACATACATTTGCTCGTATCATCCTTCAGTTAGCTTAAGGCGCTCTTGCTAGCGTGTATATTTTTTTCGATTAATTTTTCGGACGGTGCCCCGCTGAACTCGCCGCGCAAGCCAAATCGTCTCATTTGAACAATCTTGGACAATTCAATTTGGCGCGCGCGACAAAACTTGCATTATACTTTTTTTCATAGATTACATCACATATTCTGGAGCATACGACGGAACTATAGGTGCAAATCGCGAAACTCCTGATTATACGACGCAACTTCCGGAGCGTACATGATGTATTTTCCTGACTAAGTCATTAATATTCATCATGTACACGGTGCACCGTAAGTTGCGCACGTGATGCGTATTCCTGACTAAATAATTAATATTCATCATGTGTACGGTGCGCCGGAAGTTGCATACATGATGCATTTTCCTGACTAAGTCATTAATATTCATCATGTACACGGTGCGCCGGAAGTTGCGTACATGACGCATATTCCTGACCAAGTCAACGCTGGCAGGGTTCCTCAACACATTGTTACAGCACACGCGCTACAACGCGTGCACCCCAGACGGCTGATGTCACTGCCAAGGCTCTCTTCTCTGCTCATATCGTTCATCTATTTCAGTGCGCTCTGTCAGTGTCGAGGTGTACGGCTCACGCTATTTATGTGCCTTAAAAGAAATACTCCTGTGCCTTTATATACACATGCCTTTGTTTTCGAAATACTTCAATACATTTGCTTGTACTTAATTTGTGACATAATGAGAAGAACGGGAACAATAAATTACGAATCAATACATTGTATAAAAAAAGAGTTTAAAATCAAAGTGATGTTATTCACGCGTAAGTTTCGTTTATCTGCCTCGTGCTCCTGCGTTCCCTATCCTGGGACCCAGAACGTTTTAACCAAAAAGCGAATTCAACTGCACTTACTTATGACTACTTATTTGACTTTTATTAGAATCATGACCTTACCGACTTATTGAAACTTAAGGAACATTAGTTGAATCCTAGATGATAATAAATGTTTGGGATTGCGGACTGTAAAGTAAATGAAATCATGGTTTCAATTTCCGTAGATTTCCAGGTGTAATTTATTGCTTCAAACGACTGATTGATACTAGAAGTAAGTTTGGCATGATACCCAAGATATAACGTATACCTGAGTCGGTCGTTATGAAATACAAGCAATTTTAGTATGAACCTCTGTACATTTTTGTCTGCTTTAGAACACCAACGTGACGTATTGGATTTACACTGCAGTGTTGAATGTGAGTTATAAGTCGCTTGTTCAATAGCCTTATATTCAATAATATAATAAAATCCCATTTAGAACTGCAAGCAGAGGCACTGCAAGCTCGATGTTTCTTGAATATCCTGTTGTTATTAATTTTTTACGTTTGAAGTTAGTTTGCTAACAAAGACATTTAAAGCCCGAATGAAAAGAATAATGGTTGTTAGATCTACGAAAAAGCCTTAACCCACCAGGCATCCGAGGTGAAATGAACGTTAAAATAAACGTTATTTGCTTCAATCAACATTAATTCAACGTTGTTTTTATCATTTGCCTGCTGGGAAGCCACTAATGAGACTAGTTCCTCAATATCATTCAAAATTTTCCTGACTCCGGTGATGTTCGCAACGTTGTTTCTGGAACAGATCTTCCTATATCTTCGTGTGTTGTTTCATCGATCGATCGTTTGCATGTAGTGCAATGCCGGTTTACTGCCATGTTGTGTTGAAAACTTATTGTTCGATTTTTTTACTCGTAATGAAATTTTACTCACTTAATTGCATGGAGTTTGAGTTGTTGTCTAAACAAGTCTTATACATTAATTTTGTTAACAGGCCTCGTTCGGTGATTTTTCAAGATTAGTCATAATTTCGTTACGTTGTCACCACTAGATAATTAATTGAACACACGCACCCGACCTTCTCATTCATATTCACGATGTTTCAACTCTGCTTGTGGATTGCCTGCTTTCCCTAATCCATTTTTACGGCTATTTTAACTCATTTTTTCAAGCACTGATTAAATTGGATTTATATTGTACCTTTTTAAATGTTTGGTAAGTGAACTTTTAAAAATTTAATAAGAGTCCTTTACTGCACCGTGGTTATTCTCAAGTATGATCACATTCGATGGTTCTATTCTTAAAATGTGTCTGCCATCGCCCATGCCATTTTTACAGAAGTCAACTGTTATTACGCTTATGTTTTCAAAAATTAATTTGTTTAGGTATTCTGTTTTTTTATATTCATGAAATAAGCGGGTAAATCCACTGCTTTTTGAAATTTTGAATAATTAATTTTGGTACCAAATTTACACTTAATTATAATTATGTATAGTTTTAAATTAAATGGTTTCGGTTTTAGTAAGTGACTCCCGCTCGTGTTTTACCTCAGTTTCATTCTTATTCTCTTATATTCTTGTTAATTATCTTCTAGTTGTTGTATAATCTCGTGTAATGATGTAGTTCTTGACAATATCTTCCTCGATGACTGACAGTTTCCTTACTTTCTTATCTTTCAAAGCACAACAAATAACATCGATCAACGTCGATGTCTGAATTGCTTAGAAATTTCTAAGTTTTTAAGTGAAACTTTTTACGAGTGAGTCAAAATTTAATTCCAACTATTATAACATAGTATTGTATGATAGTATTTTTATTATGGACACATTTTGAGACTCAGTCGTGTAAATTTTAAATTCATAACTTTTAATAGTTCGGTTGAAACAAAAAAATGATAGTGCGAAATGATTGGAAAATTGATACCATTATAATTAATTTAGTTAGTCTTTAATTGCATCTATGACTGGTTTTCTTTTTTCTATATTCTTAATAAATTTCCTAGAAATATGCATGCTTAATAAATTCGCAACCTGTGAACTGTACAAAACAATTGTTGTTAGTGAATATCTTCGATAAGTTGTTTTTCTCAAATTTCTGCTCTACATGAATGCATATTAAAGTTATTCAAATGTCAATTAGAATTCCATGAAAACTCTTATTGTTATAATTTATTTGAATCACTGAGAATTCCGATGAGATATTCTCCTGCTTCTATTATTTGTGCCCGCTTGTGTGTATTGCTTAGCTTTTTGCTCGCTTTGCTTTATTTTTTTACTCATTCCTCGAAACTTTTCTGTTGTGGAGCGATTTTCCCAGTTTGTATATTTGTCTTGTGTAATATAAAGTATTTCCGTTCGTTAGTTAGTGTTTAGCACTTGTTGCCTGTTAAATTTAACGCTTCGAATTTCCTACGATTCATTATTTCCTTTTGTATCGTACTTGTTATGAATTTATTTTCTTCTTAGGCTTCTATTTTTTCAAGCCTAATTATTTTTTCTAGTTTGTTAGTATGTATTTATTAGAGTAGTCCTCGATATTTTAATGCGATGCTTTGCATGGGCTTCTTGGCAGATCCCGTGTCCATAGCGTCCAGCTTCTTGGTATTTTCTTATCATTTCGTGTCCTGTCTTATCGCTGTCTCCTTCCTCTCCACTTACGGCGTTCGCAGCAAAACGACAAACTGCGAAGCCCTGCTCTCGTCCGCAAGTTTGTGAGTACTTCTCTACAAAATTTTCCCTTCTATTGACCCCATTTTTAGAAATAATTTTGGTATTTTATTTACCCCGCGATTATTTTATTTACAAATTTTGGTTGACACTGCTGTGCATGCTGCAACACATTCATATAAATTTCTTATGAGCATATTATTCAACATATTCATTCCAAATTAATAGTTAATCTTAATAACATGTTTTTCCCCCCGTCTCTGAGAAAAAGTAGCTTGCTGCATTATAAATCGTAATTGTCATGGCTTATGATATACCACTTCCTTTTGTTCTATAATTGGTTTCATTTCTTTTCCATGGGATAACCTCGGTCAAAGTTTAATTGTTTACAATTTATTCTTACTTCTATATTGACTGTCCCTCAGGGTATACGATCTCTTACTTGCGCGGTGAGGGAACAGCTTTCGGTGTCACTGGTTTTCAGGAAATTTGTTACCCGTTTGCGATGGTTGCAATCATGAATAAGTTTATACAATACATGCAATCATGAATAAGTTTATTGAAAGCGCTTTGATTATTATATCTTAGAACAAAGATAAGAATTTACCACTCAAATTAGCTTTATAAGATCAATTGAATTTATTGAAGGGGCTAAGGTAACAGTTTAAAATCCTCGAATCAGCTTAATAATATATCTAGAAATATCTCATTCATGGGCAAGGTCATTGTAATTGTCTAATAGGCGATGAAGGTCACTTGTTATTTCCATTACCGCGCGCGACGCAATATGTCCTGACGATGATCAAATGTCCGTGAATTTTGAATGAATGAATGCATACTAGCTCGTCGTAAATATGTTATTCAGCACTCCGTAATTATTCTAATCAGCACGCCACTATTATATGAAGTACAGGGTGACACAAAAAAAACAGAGCTCACTAAAAGTCTTATAACTCCTGAAATTTAAAAATATGTCTCAACTGCAAATGTCTTTTGCTCTGTAGTCCAAGGCATCTCGAAGCTCACACGTGGTAGACTCTTAGATCAATCCGTCTTCTTAATGAATCTGAAACAAATAACAGGATTACTTGAGTATTGTGGAAATTATTCAACTTTTTATGAGCTCTGTTTTTTTTGTGTCACCCTGTAGCACGCCTCAATAATGTGAAATTGATGCCACTCGCGCAGGCAATTCTTTTGCCCAAGGTATCGACAATACAAAGAGTGACGCACCACACCAAAAACACGGTGGCCACGGCCAATTATAGCCTTTACATAACAGGAAATTCTTCACATAGAAATATAACGCGCATTTTGTTGTATGAGAATAAACAAATGCCAGCCAACAAAGGTATGAGAGTGAATCTGTTCTAATATTGTTTTGCAATAAGTAAAAATGAGCCCTATTGTGAGATGGTGTGCGGAAAAATAATATTAAATATTAGGAGGATAAAACATTATTGCCGGGCGCTAACTATTGAAAATTTGGTGGCATATCGAAGCTTTAATTAACTTAATAATTTTTTTATAAGCAAGATATGTACGCTATGCATTCCGTTGACGTTGTTCTACGTCAAGGTGATTCCTCACTGACCGTAGGAGAACAACAATCAACTTATTAAAAAATATATTTTGTGGTGCGCCGAGTAGATACGTTCTGCGTCACGACGTAATAGAGTGGCCTGGTGTTGTCGGTAGTATCTTCTAATGAAGTCCGCATGTTAGTTGCAATGATAGTTAGAGTTCTTTGTCAAGTTAGGTGCACTAACTAGCATATAAATACTATTTTTTACCAGCATGCGGGTTATCAGCTGCTGGTATCAGGTGCAGTGAGCTGCAGCTGTCTGTATCAGATGCAGTTGCCGGCGTCCAATATAGCTTGTCCCAGTTACCAAGAGAGAACTTCCTCGCTTCTCCCACTCGACTTTGCCTCTTTTTTAATGCTATATTAATTTCACTATTCGCCTTAGAATAAATAATACAGTGAAGAAATTTAGGGCACATATTTCGGCAGTAGATTCTATTTTCATAGGAAGTTGGGTTTTAAGCAAAATTGTGAGCTTATCGATATCGACAGGTGAAAAGTAGACTAAATCTGCTCTGCTCTACAATTCAGAAAATATTAATTTTTTAATTATCAAGATCCTTTGTTAATGATTAGGTAAGTTACACGATGCGTGCATACAAGTCAGGTATCTTGGCTAGCATTATTCGCATACAAGTCCGGTATCTTGGCTAGCATTATTCGCATACAAGTCCGGTATCTTGGCTACCAATATTCTCATTCAAGTCAGGTATCTTGGCTACCATTACTCGCATACAAGTCCGGTATCTTGGCTACCATTATTCGCATACAAGTCCGGTATCTTAGCTACCATTATTCTCATACAAGTCGGGTATCTTGGCTACCATTATTCGCATACATCAGCAGTTCACTTGTTCCGAAGCCTCCAGTGAACAAAATAGGAATGAAAGTCCATCTTTCGGTCACCTGCCTTATTCATTTTAGCAAGGATTTTTTGGAGCCATAGCTGTGGGTCTCACAGGGGCAAATGGACTTTGAAGATACGCGCATAATTTTCAGTAGGGGTTAGCGATTGATCGTATCGTCATGGAGGTCAATTTATAATTGAATAATGGAATGTTGTACGTACACAGAGTTTTATAAATAGTTGAACATCTATCGAAACCGCTTTTATTGCCCTCTCTTGTGTGTATATATGCAAGCTTGAATAATTTCTTCACAATGCCACGAGAAGATAAACACACCAGGTACTTTCACAGCTGTTTACGCACTTGTTTTTACGGCTATTTTGAGGGACTAGATACCAGGTCGCTCATTGGCTTATTACTGAGGGTTGATTGTGATTGGCCCGTTCGGAAATGTGCCGCCAAATATGAGGCTATATAAGCACCTGGATGCCCTCACCTGTCACAGTCTCTCGGGCGACGCGCTCCCGACAACAGGTACCATCTTTCCCTCGGATTAGCTGTTCACACAGAAAGTTTTCTAAAACTATCTTGGTCTTATTTTTGACGCGTTCAGCTGTGGCTGTTAAATGTCTAAGACGGGCTTGCTCTACTGAGATATTTTACAGTTTTGTGATCATTTACTTAGATGGTTTTTATGTTGGAGTAGCACTACAGCAAATCATTTTTTAAATCAATATGGTCCAAAAATTTTAAAAATATAGATGTATATTTATAGATCTTTATAAAATTTGTTGTGTAATCAATATCCGCCTTCAACTCAATTGTATTTCAAAATATAACATTACTCCTTAACATTCCTATTTTTTGTATCCTAATATCAGACCATCTTTTCTAACAGTGTATTTTTACCCCCCATGCAATACTTCTGTACGTGTCTCTTTCCTTTGTATAATTAACCCACTAAGAGTAAAATAATAATAATGATTATACACATAATAAGTGTATAATTAACCCACTAGAGCTTGCGTTACTTTTTAAGTGCGGACAATGGGTCGCAAGTGTGGCTAAATACGACACTAGCCTCGCCTTTTCTCTACATTAACATTTACTTCTTTTTGCAAGAACATTTTGCGCTTCTCTAACAGTACCAGGCGCTGTCTTCGACTGTGGTGATATTAATGAGTGGTTTAAAGGTGGACTATTCATTCCTGGCAGGTAGCCGGTGATTAACCACCTGTGCCGTGTTTGGTATTACTTACTATACCGAATTTCTCTCACCCAAACCCTATACAATAGTGTGCTGGCAACTCGTATCATTCATCGACATCCCACATCCCAACTGATGGCCTTCATTTCGGTCTCGTCTCCTGAACAGATTTACTAAATCTCACCTCAAGCCCCCGCCTCACTCACTCGCCTTCAACAAAACACGTTATTTCGTTGCTCACCACAATTCTTCACTCATCCTCAACTCTATCTCCCACTCCCACCACTTAACCCTTGTTTCCCCTTGGTGACCATACCTCACCTTCAACCCCAACTCCCACCACCTAACTCTTGTTTGCCCGTGTTGACCATACCTCACCTTCAACCCTAACACCCACCACCTAACATTTGTTTACCCTTGTTGACCATACCTCACTTTCAACCCTAACACCCACCACCTAACATTTGTTTACCCACTTCAACCCTAACACCCACCACCTAACACCATACCTCACCTTCAACCCAACACACCACCTAACACCATACCTCACCTTCAACCCAACACCCACCACCTAACACCATACCTCACTTTCAACCCTAACACCCACCACCTAACCCTGTTCCTTCCTTGCCCCGCGGCCGCAGCTCAACCGCACAGAGACGTACGCCAAGCCACAGTTGGCGAAGACCCCAGCGCCGCCGCCCCCCGCTCCGGTCGTGAAGCAGCCGTCGCCCCCCGTCGTCAACGAGCTGGACTGCATGCTCGGTACCCTGACCTCCCACATGACTGAACAAGGCGTCAACACCGCGCAGAAGGGCTCCTGTTGTGCATGCAGCAAGCCCATCGTCGGACAGGTGGGTGCTTTTGTTGCCAGAACGTGCAGGGATTGCGTCGATGATGCGGTAAATATCGCAAGCCAATCACAACGTTTGATTTTGTTGCCAGAACATGCAAGGATTGCGTCCATGATGCGGTAAATATCGCGAGCCCATCACAATGTTTGGTTTCGTTGCTAGAACTTGAAGGGATTGCATCGTTATTGCTAGGAGTATAAATTAGATCGTTGAATGATACTCTTTGTAAACTAGTAGATGATTTACATGAGCTGATTTTCGCGTTCCATGAAGCAGTGTTTGTATTTAATATACCAGACAATGGCCATCCATGGCACCGTTATATTTTATCTAGGTACTTCCCCGTACTAGTGGCAGGTACTAATGGTTTGGTTGGCATATTTGGCCGGTTAATAATACGACATATTTACGTACTTCAATAATGTACTAATTGTGTGGTTTACCATAACGTGCCCACATATCAATGACGAGCACTAACGATTTCTTTGGCGTATGTGGTCAGGTGATCACGGCGCTGGGCAAGACGTGGCACCCCGAACACTTCACGTGCGCGCACTGCACGCAGCAGTTGGGCTCCAAGAATTTTTTCGAGCGAGAGGCGAAGCCTTACTGTGAGGCCTGCTACCACGAACTCTTCTCTCCCCGCTGCGCCTACTGCAACGGCTCCATCCTCGACGTGAGCACGCCGACACACGCTTTGTTTAATTTTACCAAGGGGAAATTTATATAATTTTAATTAAAATAACCACGGCAACGCCATTAACATACAAGATATTTTCCCATGCCGCGTCCTGAGACCGATTTGTTAATCTCGGTATCAATTCCATTTTATTTACGTTAAATGCACACTATACACGCACTATAATACACTCGGTATACTCTGCACTCACTCACAAGTCTGGCGCTCTCTATCACAGAAATGCGTGACTGCGCTCGACAAGAACTGGCATCCAGACCACTTCTTCTGCGCGCAATGCGGCAACACATTCGGCGAGGAAGGCTTCCACGAGAAGGACGGCAAGGCGTACTGTCGCGAGGATTACTACAACATGTTCGCCCCCAAGTGTGGTGGCTGCAACTCTCCCATCATGGAGAACTACATCTCGGCACTAAATGCCCAGTGGCACCCAGAGTGCTTTGTGTGCAGGGTGAGTACCTACAACATGCATGTAGTACGGGACACAAGTTACTGGGGTGATTACCTTCAATATGAATGTAGTCGGCTTGTCAAATTTTGAGGTGATTCTTTTGGTGGGTGAGTATCTGCAGCAGACATGACGACCTGGCACAAATTCCTCTGGTGATTCGTCTCATGGGTGAGTAACTTCAATACTCATGCAGTTTGCCTTACAAATTTTGGGGCAATTCGTCTGTTGGGTGGATTTTGATCCGTCTGGTTGGTGAATTCCTTCAACATGCATGTAATTTCCATTAAGTTTTTTTAGATTATCTCTATAAGTATCAATTAAAAATGTATTTACTTGTTATATAGTATATAATGTGCTATATTTTGTCCTTTGACACATTACTTGTTTTATATGACGGACATGCATCTGATATATTCATTATTTTTAGCGCGTGTAATACGGTAAGTTTATAAATTTTGATTACAGTCGCGTATATCGTCTGAATTTATTTATCGTCTTATCTCATTTATTTGGTGTGGAAAAGCTTTCATAATGCTTGTTGTTTTGTTTTTTTTCTGCAGACCACTATAACTGTAGTAACTGCCTGTGTTCAATTTTGTGTGATATTAATGCAGATAATTGTAACTGCATATGTTTACTGCGCAAGATTAATGCGTTCACGTCCGATATTCGCAAAAATCCACAAAAAAATAAAAGGGCTGAAATATTTAGCATTCATCGGAATAATTATAAAACATTTCAATCCCATGAATTTTCTTTTTTGTGGATTTTCGATGCAAAAACATCAGAAATAATATATTTATTTAGGAGTTCGAATTTTAAACGCGGCTGCAGAATTTTTATTTTTAATAACTACGTTCGAGTTGGTGTTTCTTACTGAATAAAAGCGTTTCCAACCATACCCTCTACCAGAAAATGAAAGACACTAACACAAAACGTGCACAAATATCTGAACTACCAGAAAATGGGAGACTCACACTAACCTAGTGCGTGTTTAAATATTCGATATACTAGAATATTTAAGACTTAAACTAACCAATAGCGGGTAACTTGCTTGACGTTCGCAAAACCATAAAACGTGATTTTGGCTAACGAAATGCAAGAGTGAAACTCACCTAAAAAAAGCGGAAAGCCCTTAAATTTTCACTAACCAAGAGCGCCTGCTAAACGCCACATGGATTGCTGAAAAGCCGATGTTCTGCCCAGGACTGTAAGCAACCAGTGACAGGAAAGTCCTACTATGCCATGGAAAACAAGCCCGTGTGTGCGGCGTGCGTGGGCGTCTCTGAAGACGAGGATGAGGAAGAAGAGGAGGCTTAAGCCGCCCCACTACAATGTCGTCACGTGTCGGACACTCTTCGTCCCTTCTAGTGGAGATTATAGATTATCGTATGAATGATGTCTGGAGATCATCGTGTCAATGATGCCAATGGATGTTGTTGCTTTGTATTGCTTCTCGTACTCGTAAACGTCTTAGTCTGTCGATGTGGAGAAAGGAAGGAACACTAATGGCCGGCAATGTTCCTATGTTCTTGTCATGCGAGTCTACGCGTCGTTATACCCGCATTGAAGGGACACAGAATGGAGAAAGTCATGTTTTGTCAGAACTCAATAAGAAAGGCACAAAATTACTATGTTGCTTAAGACGTCATTTAACGCAGCCTAACCTTCGCTCTCTCATAATCCATTTTTTTTATACATACTGCGACGTTCCACTTTGCAAACGGTAAACAAATCCCAATTTAAAATTTTCTGCCCGGCATTCTGTTGCGAATTCGCCTTCACGCGAGCTTAATCTGACGCTCAGTCATCCTCAAACTAGATTTGTAGTTTATAAACCCAGACAAGATCTTGGTATTAATTTAGACCGGCCCGATGGCCGTAAAGATGCACAAGCTCAACCTGCGTCGAGATGTGTGCACGAGCTGCACACTAAGAGAACTTAGTGAGACTTTGTCGAAATAGCGATGAACTTTTTGTTCCTGTATGGATCATCCTTACCAAGTATAGCTCGGCGAAATGGCGTATCAGAGCTACGTGTAAAAAGTTTGTCAGTATTTGGACCATGTGACCCATCCATTTGTTTGAGTCTCATGGCTGCCACCTACTCGCCTGCATCGGCTCCTTCGCAGCCCCAGCCTCTATTTCTGTCCACTGCACTCTTGTGCACCTGCTGCTCAGCTGCGTCTTATTTCACACTTTTATTATTATTGCCACTCAGGAAAGTGGGTCGACGATGCTTGGCGACTGCACCTCTGCGTGGATAAATACGATGTCACTTAAAAGCTTTGCTCACTTCAATCCGCTCCAAAATATAGCCCAGTGCTGATTGAGGTTTTTTTTTCGCGACGCTCCTTCCTACATTCTCAGTGAATCTTACCTATCATATGTCTCCAGGAATGTTAATTGATATTGCTGCTGATATTATGGTTATGCACGCGCGTATGGCTCGATTTCAACCAGTGAAGTCATTGGTGTCTGTCTGGTGGAGGTGGTGTTGTCAATCACGCGTGGTCGGTTAGGTGGTATTTCAGGTGATGCTCGTGCCAGCGTTCATATTTCTCAGTTGGCACCACCCAAACTTTTCCGCCTCATTCTTCTCTTCTTGTTTTCCTTCTTCCCTTGGCCCTTCAATATTTATCGCATCTGCTGCACATTTATACTTCGTTCTCATCATCACGGTAATAATCATTTTCATTTGTTTTCTTCCACGTGCCTCATTCTCCGTCTTTTCTTGCAATTGATTTTTTCGCGCTAGTACTCCTCGCCTTTTTTTATTCCTTATCATGTTTTCCTTTGTTTTACCCCGTACCTTCCTCCGTCTTAATCTTCTTTCCCTTCCTCTATATTCTTATGTCAATATTCCTCATGAAGTTTTTATCTTAAGAATACGCATGTTTTTCCTAAACTTTTCTACCGATTACTTCGGTTCTATTTCAAATTATGCAATTCCTTTCCCAATTTGAAGTATTTTCACCTTTGGTTATTTTTGAAAAGGCAATAAATACTCAATGACGATAGGTGTGTTGTTCAGCTCGCTCTCTGTGCACGTTTAGGAATGAATGCTGTGGAAATTGACTTGAGGAATAGTCTATTACTGTCTTCTTATTTGTCATGCTGTCCCGTGGCAATTTTTTGTATCTAGGATTATGAGATAAAATCATATTTTTATCCTCTTTCTTTCTCTGTATCCTTCGATCGACATCTCACTCAAGAATAACGACGAGTATAGGGCCAAAAATCGTTTCTTGTCACAACTTTTGGTGATAATGGCTACTGAATTTTCGGAACTCCGATTAGCTTCCTGAATAATACGAAACTTTTTCGAGCAAAGTCTAGTCAAAAATATCTAATTTCAAGCAAAACAAAATCAAATAACCTCACAATCGAAGGCAATTTTTTCTCGGTCAATCGAAGGCAACTGGAAGTGTCTCCAAAGCTTTGCATGACACTATCATAAACGTTCCGGAAATACAACCTAAAACGTGCCCCGATGACTACGAGTACGAGAAGGCCGTAATTCGGAGAAATGATGGCGTCATTTCCGAAATAACGATGCCCTTTTATGCCTTTGTATGGGGCACTCTAGCCCAGCTTAGCCCGCAAAAGAGAGTGTCAGTTCGACGTGCAGAGATAGTGCCACTATTTGGATATGACCATATTATTTTTCTGATTGCGGGAGTCACTATGCTCTCAACTGTTATGCTAATATCATTGAACATTTTTCACTTGAATTAGAAACTGGTATTCAAGCAACCTGAGGTTGAATCCTGAGCAGATTACATAACGAATTCAGATTCCAAACCAAAAATGCCATAAATATGTATTTTATAGAGTCAAAAGCGGAAAAACACTCGTATGACTGGCTAAATGGGCAGTGATATCGAACCAGGCTTGCGTTCTACAGTTTGCTTGACTGTTACACAAAAACGATCTAGTGAGCCAGTCTATTAGTGACCTTTGTAGCCATTGTTTTAGGGGAGGAGGGAAGTGTAAGTATGAGGGATATGCAAGGGGGAGGTGTGGCTCCCTCGGTTGGCATGTTAGTGGCGCCCAAATAGACCTCACTGCACTTCCCCTTTGTGAATAGACCACGCACTTCTGAATGCCCATGAATAAACCCCGCTCTACTTTTCTGAATGCTCACGAACAGACACCGCACTTCTGAATACCCATGAATAGACTCCGCACTTCTGAATGCCCATGAATAGACTTCACACATCTGAATGCTCATAAATAGAAGATGCACTTCGGAATGCTCATGAATAGATCCCGTACTTTTGAATACTCATGAATAGACGCTCCGCGACGTGACCAAAGCCTTCGATAAGGTTTGGCACGCCGGACTGCAACACAAAATCATCCAACTAAACCTCCACCCATCCTTCACTAAAACACTTGCAGAGTACCTCACTGACAGAACAGCATCCATCAGAATAGGAAATCACATAGGTCCCCCAATACAACTTCACACAGGTGTCCCCCAAGGAGCTTGTCTCTCCCTCACACTATACAGCTTCTACACACATGACCTCCCACCACCTCACCCAACACAGACTACATAGCATTTGCAGACGACATAACACAAATAACAGCATGACGCTACAAACACAACTATACTGCACAACAAATACAACACGCCATCCAACAGATAAACACATTCGAAAACAAATAACTAACTAATTAGGACCAACACTACCAAGTTCAGTGTTATCCCCGTCAATAGACATAGAACATCTGACATATTCATAGACAATACTCACTTGAAATTTGCAACACATGGTTTTATGTTCCATGTAATAGTTAGGAAAGCAGTAGCCCTTACAATCTACATAAAATATACAGATTCTGCAACCTCCCTCCAAATATAAAACGAACTCTATACCTCACCCTTATAAGGTCAGCTCTCATTTATACCTCAATACCCCTACACACCCTATCCAGAACAGCAATATCCCAAATGCAGAAAGTCCAAAACAAAGCACTGAAATTCATTACAAACACACACTGGTCCGACTTTGGCACGCCATATCCTGCCAAACACTACACGAACAATGCAACATTCCCACAATAAACACAGTCCTCCCCCAACATGCACTTAAAACCTGGTGCACCATCAAAACATATCATCCCCAACTCTTCAATCAACTCACCTTGCCCCCATACGCCATAGCAAGGCTGCACCGGTTATTCCTTAGCTCCAAAATACAGGCACTAGGTCCCCCACCTCCACCTCTGTACAAATAAATACACTCCGGACCATGCTGCACCCGGACGGAGTTGTTCTAATCACGTTTTGGGTGTAGCTGGTCCCAAAACAACACACATCGTCATAGACACCATTACGCAGACAGACTGACCTGACTCACCGAGAGTGACGTACAGTAAAACGTGACCGAAAACCTAAGACGTAACCAACCAACCAACCTTCTACCTACCTCCGAGTCTCGAGCGACTCACCCACTTCACATCATCATCAATCATCATCAACATCATCATTCCTTCCTTTTCATCATATCCATTGAGAAAATAAAAAAATTATATAAAGATAAAAAAAGCGAGAACGCATGTATCAATGTAAATGCGGAACCACCACCCTCCAATCACCCATGCACCTTCCTGATGCATCCAAAACCCTGACGGGTTCCCAACCCCTTCCCCAACCCCAAACAACCCTAATCACCTTTAACCGACCAAATTATGCCCAATGCGCCTTTTCATCTCCTACTATCTTTTCTATTTCTTCTTCTTTCTGGCCACTCTGCACCACTTCTTATTCTCTTCCACTCTTTCCTAGTTTCCCCGCTACAACAAATTAATAGACCTCGCGCTTCTGAATGCTCATAAATAGACGATGCACTTCGAAATTCTCATTAATAGACCCTGCACTTCTGAATACCCATAAATAGACTCTGCACTTCTGAATACCCATAAATAGACCCTGCACTTCTGAATGCCCATGAATAGACCTCGCGCTTATGAATGCTAATAAATAGAAGATGCTTTACGGAATTCTAATGAATAGGCCTTGCTTTCCTGAATGCCCATGAATAGACTTTGCTTCGTTTCTCCTTCATGAATAGACCCAAATAATCAACGCATGAATGGGAAGATTTTGATGATTTATCAATACAGGGTCATCAATATTTAGCGTTACATTGTTTTTTCAAAATCAATACACTCGCAAAACAGTCAAATGTGTCGTATGGAACCATGTCGACTGTTCTCCGGAAGGACCTAAATTTGTCCCCATTCAAGCATGTCAAAAAACACCAACTGTCTGCTCAAGTTGTTGACAAACGCCTCCAAAGATCCAAGATTCTTCTTTCCCGCATTCATGATGGCACGCTGCTAAACCTCGTTTTCAGTGATGAGAAGATATTAAATGTTGAACACCACTTCAACTCCCAAAATGATCGAATTTGGTCGAAGAATGGGACTACGGATCCCGTGTGGTGACTAGGAAGCAATGCCCGACCTCAGTGATGGTCTGGGCAACCGTAACAGAGTCCTCAAGGAGTCCCCTCTTTTTTTGTTGACAAAGAGGTGAAATTAAATCAGAAGAACTATCGATATGCCATCCTTGTTGGTGCATTGTTGCCCTGGGTACGAAAGCACTTCAAAAAACGCCCCTGCGGTCGTTCCAGCAGGACTCTGCATCATCCCATATATGGGGCCAAACCGACTCAGGAGTGGCTGTCCGAGAATGTTCCCCACTTCACTACCAAAGATGAATGGCCCCCATCGTCACCCGATCTGAATCCTCTGGATTTTGGGATATCTGGTCATACCTTGAGAGCAAGGTCTCGACAGTTCACCATAGCAGTTTGGACGCCCTAGAGGTCAAACTGCTAAAGGAGTGGGCCAAAATCCCGCAAAGTGTCATTCGTGACTCGTGTAAGGCTTTCTCTAAGCGTCTACAACTCGTTATTGATGCAGATGGTGGACATATTGAATGAAATTGTGGGAATTGTATCTCTAAACCTCTGCCTACATAAATACATTTTCAAACATTCACAATTGTGCTTCATTTCATAGTTCTAACCACTCAAAGTTGTAACGCTAAATATTGATGACCCTGTAGTCTTGGCTGCATTTTACGAATAGACCTAGAGCTACTCTATATTCACGTGTTTCACTTCAACACTTGCATTGAATGGGCCGTTCACTTTAATACATTCATGAATGGGCCGTTCACTTCAAGACATTCATGAATGGGCCCGTTCACGTTCATTCATAAAGAAATAGACCCCCACAATTTAACGCCAAAAAATTGTGGACTTTCTTCTATTATGTAATTTCCGCCTTACTTTTTTATAGTCAAGATTATAGTTCAGTAAAACGGTTGCCTCAATAAAAAAATGCCCGTCATTCCCGTCATGACATAAACAATGCTGTCTTATGTGGCTCGAATGAAGTGTTACACGAAACTGCTCGTGTAACACTCGTATCAACACGTGAACTGCTCGAACGTGTCAACAGTTATAATAATAACAACGATAAATAAGTTAACCATTAACAAACAACGTCCCAAGTTTGCAGCGCATGTCTTAAATTAACTAATTACTTTAGTTGATGTGCGTAGCTGCAGTGTGCAGCGATGTGCCAGCTGTGTGCCAGGTGGTGCTTGACGGCAGGTCTCCTTTTTTAGTCATTATATTTATGACGGATTTTCATGTCGTGTTCTCTCTGTGCCAGTTCTCTCTTTACTCCATCCATCTGGAGCAGTGTACGTTGTTAATATTGCTTCATATCTTAGTAAATATCAACGAAACTACCATGTTTTTATTCGATCCTCCATATAAACTATTCGATAAATTTTACATAAATTATTTTGCCCTAAAAATTGGTTTTCTTGCCTTATATGCTGTGAATTGACTTCAAGTCCAAGCAAATAACCCCTACTTATTACACTCATAAAAAGCACGTATCTCCGAATTTTGGTATTCTTGCATAACTTTTTTTTAATGAGCTTTCAGTCTACGCAATTAATTCCATATTATTACAAGCAAAAGGCTGCGCGTACCTCTGAATTAATTATTTTAAATCAAAATACTTGTTTCTCCACAGGACTGCCGGCAGCCATTCAACGGCGGCTCCTTCTTCGACCACGAAGGCATGCCTTACTGCGAGACTCACTACCATGCCAAGCGCGGCTCTCTGTGTCATGG